CTAGTACTCTAAAATAATTTTAGAATCTTAAATACATACACATACACACACTCACATAAATGTGGAGAATTATAAGAGAATATTAAATGTAAATTTATATGAAATCCCAAGAAGATAGGATCAGAAGCCTGCTTTATAAATTAGCATCAAATACTATAATTTTATTGGTAGAATCGGGGGAGGAGGGGGGAAAAAATGAAGGATCTTTCATGATTTGAACCAGTGTGTGGCTATTACTTGCTGCCATATCAATCTTTAACTCCAGGTTCTCTAGAAAACTTGTTTTTCTATCATATAAAACACTCTATCAATGAAATACCTAATTCATTCACAATCACACACACACACACTTTCATGTATGGGCTGAGGATGTGCCATTTTTACCATGGCCTTCCCATGCTCTTGAGAAGAAAATGAGTGTTGAAGGGAAACAGATGAATTCTATTAAGTTCTACATAGGCTGAGTGTAAGGCAAAGAGTGGGACTGAATATGGAAACCAAAGCCAACACATGGAAGCATATTTTTCTTTCCAAATATTTTATGTACTGAAGTTTGCACAACATCTTGGCAATGACAGTAAGCCTGTATAAGGAGGTGTTTTGTATTTCATAGCTAACATAAGAGCAAAAAAATGAAGCATCCGCCAAATATTATTTCAATCATGAATTAAAAGAATGTAAGAATGTGTATGGCAGAGTACATGGTAAGGCCCCATGGCTAGAAGCTACAAGGTTTAAAATTTTTCCACAAAATTCCATAAGAGAGCTTATCTCTTATGGCTCTATCTTTTGGTATTGGGAAGGAATGAAACTAGATTTAGCACAGCCCATCTGTTTGATTAGAGAGAGAAAGAGATATGGTTGCATTTTCTTGGCATGCAGATCTCCTTTAAACCTTAGAGGAGTGTTTGTTTTACAGATTTCACTGGAAATTATTTTTATGACATTTACCAATGCTGCCCACATTAAGCACTTATTTTTTCTCTTCATTTTCCCCCTTTCTACAATACATATTTTTAATATTTTAAAAAATAGAAAACTGCCTAGCACAATGGTCAGCAAACTGCAGCTTACAAGCCACATGTGGCTCTTTGGCCCCTTGAGTGTGGCTCTTCCACAAAATACCACGGCGAAGTCTATTTTGAAGAAGTGGCATTAGAAGAAGTTTAACTTTAAAAAATTTGGCTCTCAAAATAAATTTCAATCGTTGTACTGTTGATATTTGGCTCTGTTGACTAATGAGTTTGCCGACCACTGGCATATAGTAGATAGTAAAATTTATCAAATTCATCAAGGTTAACTAGACTAGGCATTAAGAGATCTGGATTTTAATTCTAAGGCACTAGTAGGTATTATACTACCTAATGGAAGTCATTATACATTGCTTCTTACTGTAATGACTTCGAGTGAGTGCATATGTGGGGAAGTGATGTGTGTTTCTTAGATTAACAGGTAAACTATAAGCCAGAAATCATAACTTCAAATGCCTACATGTGCCAAGCAAGTACTAGAAATGAGTAAAATGGGTGGATAAAATAAAATAGGAAATAGAGGGGAGTGTGGCCAACTGGAGAATGCAGGGCCAGCCTGTGTTTAAAGCATGATGGGAGCCACACAACTGCAATCCAAGTACACTTCTTACAGTGTAAGCTCCTTCAGAGGAATAATTGTTTCCAAACCATCTGTCATATGTGAAATAATACAACAATAAGTAATAAAAAATATTAATTGCTAAAATTTGTCAAACACCTACTAAGTTCCTGGATTGGTTCTGAATTTCATTTGGCCTAATTGTATTTTATGAATAGAATTACCTCCATTTTATAAATGAGATTAAGGTATAATACTTAGGCCGAAACTGGTTTGGCTCAGTGGATAGAGCATCGGCCTGTGGACTGAAAGGTCCCAGGTTCGATTCTGGTCAAGGGCACGTACCTTGGTTGAGGGCATATTCCCAGTGGGGGATGTGCAAGAGGCAGCTGGTCCATGTTTTTCTCTCATCGATGTTTCTAACTCTCTATCCCTCTCAATTCCTCTCTGTGTAAAATCAATAAAATATATATATTTTAAAAGGTATAATATTTAGTAAATATATATTGGGCACTCTGTTAATGTAATTAAATGTTAAGAAATAAAATAAAAATAAAAAACAGGCCCTAGCTGGTTTGGCTCAGTGTATAGAGTGTTAGCCCATGGACTGAAGGATCCTGGGTTGAAGTCCGAGCAAGGGCACGTACCTGGGTTGCAGGCTCTATTCCAGGCCCTGATTGGGGCTGTGTGGGAGGCAACCAATGGATATGACTCTCACATCCAAGCTCCTTTCTCTCGGTCTCTCCTCCTCTCTCTAAAAATCAGTGGGAAAATATCCTTGGGTGAGGATTAACAACAATAACAACAAAACACACACACACACACACACACACACACACACACACAAGCACAGCACAACGAGGAACAAAGTAGCAGGGCGCTGAGCTGAGCCCTTCACCCAAATGAAAGAAGTACACTTCAAAAGACAGTCTATCAGAGAATGACATTCAACTCATCTTCTCTGTTTACCCTCAACAGCACTCAACTCACATATCTTGATCGACTACCTTTCTGTTAATGACACACATGCTTGTTTCCCAGCCCACCCTTTTAGTGGCTTAGAGGACATATGGGATGAAATCTTTCCCAAAAGCCATGATGGATTTAAAGTTGAGAGAACTGAACAGGCATTGGGTTCAGATATGTGAGAGGATGGTTCCTTTAAGCTGCTCAGAGATGGCTTTTATCGTTTTTAATTAACTCGTGAGGAAGACCAAACCCCCTCCCCATCTCCACACCCTATCCTTCTCCCCAACACACTCTCTTCCATGTACCTGACTGAGGGGCTCACCCCTGAGGGGAGGGCTCAACAAGCATTTGCTTCCTGCACAGATGGCTGGCACAGATTTAAAGTATGAATGTCTTGCCAGAACTGGTTTGGCTCAGTGGACAGAGCATCGGCCTGCGGACTGAAAAGTCCCAGGTTTGATTCCAGTCAAGGGCATGTACCTTGGTTGTGGGCACATCCCCAATTGGGGTATGCAAGAGGCAGCTGATTGATGTTTCTCTCTCATCAGTGTTTCTAACTCTCTATCCCTTTCTTTTCCTCTCTGTAAAAAATCAATAAAATATATTTAAAAATAAATAAGTAAAATAAAGTATGAACGTCTTTCTCCTCAATGCTTCTCATCTCAAATGCAAAACAACAGAGTATAGTGATTGAGAACTGGAGTTCTGGACTCAAACAGACCCAGCTTCAAATCCTCCTCATGATCTCTCTGAGCGGAGGTTTCTTGGCTGCAGAGCTGGGATGATACTACTTCTTGCTGGTTGTCTTGTTGGAAGGAGTAAACGAGAGAGATCAAGTCAAGTGTTGGGCACGGTGACTGACCTGCAATAAGACTCAGTACATTACTTAGTACCCTTTTGTCTTTGAGGGCGGTTGGTGAGCTCTGTAGCCCGGGGATTCCTAAAGCAAGGCCTTGCTTCCTACATCCCAGGCTTTAAAAAAAAAACAAAAAAACAAAAAAACTCAGTAGATAAGAAAGAGAAAGATAAAAGAGAAGAGACTACTTACTAGACTACTACTACTGCTTGTCAGGCATCTTGAGAGTTGCTATATCTTATTAAGCTCTTGTACCCTCACACAGTCCAGTTGGGGAATGAGAGTTGGATTTCATTGCTCCCCCATAGCTGGTGTTTCTCAAAGAGCATTCCCTGGGCCAGTGGTCGGCAACCTGCACTCGCGAGCCACATGCGGCTCTTTGGCCCCTTGAGTTTTTAGCAAAGGGCAGCTTAGGAGTACCCTAATTAAGTTAATAACAATGTACCTACCTATATAGTTTAAGTTTAAACAATTTGGCTCTCAAAAGAAATTTCAATCGTTGTACTGTTGATATTTGGCTCTGTTGACTAATGAGTTTGCTGACCACTGCCCTGGGCCAATGGGCATTAGAATCACCTGACGAGGTACCTGATCCACAGCCTCAGAATTTCCGGAGCAAGGCCAGGGCATCTTTGACTTAGTACTTGTATCATATAATCTAAAGCTTGATCCTATATTTGCTTGTATTTTTACATGTAAGTCCCCCTGTAATTAAATGATAAAGTCTCCAAAGTGAGGACAGTGCTTTCTAGTTTTCTTGTAACCCCAACAGTATACAGCTCAATTCTAAACATGTCATCAGAAGTTAATGAAAGTATTTGGCTGGGTTTGGCTTTCTGCAAGGCAGGGCCCTGACCTGTCAATATCTAAAGATTGGTAGAGACCTTAAGTTAGAACGGAGATTCACTAGTACCCAGTATCATTTCATATACAATGTGAGTTTTCAGTTGGTAATTTTTCATTGCCAGTCAGTTGGGTGCTCTTTTATTACTTAAGCACTGAGATTTCTGACTTCCTGACCAGGGAACAAAATTAACAAGTCTCTGGAAAATGAAGTCCTTTTCAAGTTTGGGAGTGTTTGTAAAACAGAAGTCACAGGCCTTCCTGCCTTATCATCACAAGCGAGGCCCCTTCTTTTCAAAATGCTTATTCAAATTTTAAACATGTGGATTGAAACCTAATTTTCTTTGCAGGATCAGCATTGATATGTGCTAACCTTTGGGAAAAGGGAGAACTTGTTACTTTATGATGTGTTTGTTCCTGAGCAATTGAGAGGTTTGCCATATGTTTTTATGGTCGTTTTCTTTGAGGTTCCATAAACACCTTCCGGAATGTGGAGGTTCCCCCACCAGAGTCCTAGGGGAGCTTTTCCAGGGCCCTAATGTCACTGGCCCAGCGGCTTCGGTTGCCATGATATGCAATTATTTCTTCTACACTTAGAAAGCAATTCTCTGATCTCCAACCCGTTAACCACGTTTGATCTTAACAAGATGAAAAAATGTTCAGAATCTAAGCTTATGATCTGTGTGATACGTTTTGCTTCTTTCAATTCACAGTAGCTTTCTCCCTCTTTTCTCTTCTTTAGGATCAACACACTGTGGTAGGCCAGAGCACAGGCCCCAGTCCAAGTCCCAACCCCTGCTCAAATCCAAACACTGGAAGTGGTTACATGAACTCCCAGCAATCACTGTTGAATCAGCAATTGATGGGAAAGAAACAGACTCTACAGAGGCAGATCCTGGAGCAGAAACAGCAGCTTCTCCTGCAGCAGCAGATGCTGGTGGATGCGGTAAAACTTTCTCCTATGACCTACTGCACGTACCTGCTGGCCCAACAGAGAGAGTTCATTACTTTCCATTTCTCTTTGCTGCCCTTTGCTGTGCCTACTTATGGGACAGCAAAAAGGGTATCCTGTCTCTAAGAGAAGTTAATTCTATACATGTGAAGTGCTTCAGGGGGAAATGAAAAAAAAAAAAATACTTGATTTACCAGCTGCTAGACAGTTGGAAAGCAGGGCACCTCAGCTAACTAGCCCTGCCCAGCCCAGGAATGTTTAGAACCACCAACATGGGCCCTTGAATCAGGCAAAAGAAACCAGTCTTGTTCCACAGCCCGGAGGGGCAGAAATAGGGAATCGAACTCTAATGAGCTCAAGTCCAAACTGATTTTAGAGATAAGAGAATTATAAAAGCAGTTTTAAAAGCCAACGTGGAGTTTCGTAACTTAAGATTTGGCTTTTAAAATATAGCATCTCAAAATGGGGGATTTTTTTTTTTTTTTAAGAAAATTGAAAATGTATTTCCTACTTTTATCATAGGGAAGTAGACTTAAAGAAAGGCAGGGCCATTATTTCCCACACACCACCCAAACATTAACCCTGTTCAGTATTTATCTGCTCATTCCTTCTGTATTCTCAGACATACACATGCACTCAACAGCTAATCTAAACCCTTCCTGCCTCCTAGGACCAAAGCCCTATCTCCAAGTTCCATTCTCTCCCTTCAAACTGTTTGGCCAAATGAAAGAAGAAAGGGACAAGGTTAACCATCTTCAGGTTGATGGAGCCAAGGAACACAGAAAATAGAAAGGGGAAAATGCACACACACACACACACAAATTTTTAAATTCAAGGGACTTTGTAATAAGAGTCAAAGACCCAAGGTGTGATAAGTTCTACATCCATTCATTAATATTTAGTTATTTACAATGAGAATACAGCCATAACCAAAACAGACCCTGCCTTTGTCCCTAGGGAGCTTGGAGCCCACTGGGGATGCTAAACAAATAGGCAAACTATAAGGCATGTGATTAAATGCGATGATGTGGGAGCTACTAGGAATGGTTCCAGAGAGGAAGTAATATCTACCGAAGATCTGAAGGTGAAGTGGGAGGTGGAGATGAAGAGCAAGGGTTTACAGCCAGAAGAGCCAGCAAATGCAAAGACTCAGAGACAATATACAACATATCAGTTAGCAGAGGCATAGACCATGCACAAGGACAGAGAAAAGCCAGAGGACAGAGCTTAAGAAATCAGAATCTACATTGTCTGAAAAGCAATGGGAAGGATGTTAAGGATTTTAAACAAGGAAGTACTAGATTCAGATTTGCATTATAATAAAGGTATGCACATAATAAGGAAAAATGTAATGGAGGAAAATATGAAATCCAGCTGGAGAGATTGGGGATAGTCTTCTGGAAAAGGTAAAATTTGACTTTGAGGAACTGTAGAATTCTGATGGGTCACAGGCAGAGAGTAGGCCAGAGACCAAAAGGCATAGCCTATGTGTATATTTGTTAATTAGCCTGAGATTTTATCTTGAAATATTTAATACATAATGAAAAGTATGCATAATAACGTAATAATTATTTCTGTTTCTTAAGGAATAACAAATAGAATACATTTAAAGTCCAAAGCATAAGAGAAGAAATAGAAATAAATTTATTTGAATTTGAATAAGAAATATTGAGAAATAAATTTTTTGGTGACCTTGAGTATTACCCTAAGGTTTAGGGCTGTGGTCAGCAAACTGCGGTTCGCAAGCCACATGCGGCTCTTTGGCCCCTTGAGTGTGGCTCTTCCACAAAATGCCACAGCCTGGGCAAGACTATTTTGAATAAGTAGCATTAGAAGAAGTTTAAGTTTAAAAAATTTGGCTCTCAAAAGAAATTTCAGTCAATATACTATTGATATTTGGCTCTGTTGACAAATGAGTTTGCCGACTACTGGTTTAGGGGAACCACTGACCTAAAATAATGCATCTGGTTTCTCCTATAAATCATAGTTGTGAAAACCCCAGTCCTACTCACTCTCTCCCATTTGCTTGAGTTTTTGTTTTGTTTGTTTTTTACCTTACAACTAAATAGCTTAGGAACAAGGGTAGAGAAGGAGAAAAATGTACAATCTAAGATTGACTTCCTGGTTACACTGTCATTCTCCTCAATGCTACTAATCTGTCGAATTATGACATGCATGCAGAGGTTGAATTTCTAGTTTTTCAGCTCTGATTAAAAGGCAAGGAAACATCCCACGAGGGTCCTATCCCTGCACCGGCCTAATTCCCATGGAGCCCCTGTGGAGTCACACTGGGACAGGTGCAAAGGGCAGTGGCATGAGCTGTGAGAGATGAATGAGAACGAGGCTGCTGTGTTTTGTGATTCTTATCAACCATTCACATTTCTCTCCTTTGGCTGCCATTGAGGGTGCCTGTACTTTTTAGCATATCCAGGAAGAAACCGTCTTTGATACCCCTTTATATTAGCATATGCTTTGTATTTTTTGCAGTCAGTTGGCAAGGCCCGACAGGCGCCTACATGGAGACATTTTCTCATGAAAGTGTTATCCTTACTCTCTATTGCTCTCCCACCAAGGGAGCACAAGGAGCCGAGGCGACTGGTACTTATTACAATGGACGTCATAATTACCTGCACGTTTCGTGCACCTACTATGTGCCAGGCACCGTGCTGAGCTTTTTCAGAATTAAAGGATTAATCCTTACAATAGGAGTATGTGGGATGTCCTAGAAGTATTCACCTTTTACATTTTGAAATGTCAAAACTGAAGCTGGACCTATTTTCGCTGTATTAGGTTTTTCGGTCCAAAATATTGGGTTATCCTGAGACATTAGTTGATAAGTTAAATTCCATGTTTTTTTAATATATATATATTTTATTAATTTTTTACAGAGAGGAAGAGAGAGGGATAGAGAGTCAGAAACATCGATGAGAGAGAAACATCGATCAGCTGCCTCCTGCACACCCCCTACTGGGGATGTGCCTGCAACCAAGGTACATGCCCTTCACCAGAATTGAACCTGGGACTGTTGAGTCCGCAGGCTGATACTGTATCCACTGATTCAAACTGGTCAGGCTAAATTTTATGTTACACAGAATTTGTCTCAGGGATGCCTGTGAATTCACACTTGCATGAAATGGAAATGTTGATATTTTGAGAATGAAGCAGTCTCCACTCTGTGCTGAAGGTTGGTGTTGGCTACTCTGCTGCACACAGGGACAAAGAGGCCTTCCTGTGATAGTCCAAATGCAAGGCTATTACTTCTAACTCATTTGTGAACAAGTAGTTAAAGAAGATCAGGTTTCCAGAGATGTAGAAGTTAACACTTTAGGTAACTTAATTTAGCCCTAGGGGGGAAAAAAGGTCAATAATTAAATTGAATATATATAAATAAGTCCAAATTTGAAATCTAGTCTTTAATGGGAAATGAAAAGCCTAATCTCTCTCATTTCTCTCTCTATCTCTATCTCTCTCTCTTTCTATCTCTCTCTCCACATGAATCTGATTTTTTTCAACATATACAGCAGAAACACCTAATTGCATAAGAAAAAAAATAATAGATGCTTTTGGAAAAGAGAAGATTTCAGAAAGCCCCACGCTTGGCATAAAAATCAAAACTGTCAGCTTGCACAATAGTTTACAACAGGAACGGCTGAACATTGCCACATTTGGGTTCACAGAACATCTCAAAGCTGTTTTTTTAAACATTTAGGGTTTGGGTAAACCCAAAGTTTCACCAACCACTTTTTCCCTTAATTTGTGAACGCATATTTAAGAGAAATGTAATCCATGTGTTTCTGATTCATTTACACTTAGCTCATCAAAATTGTGTTTTATATGAATTACTTGATGCCCCAAAAACCCTTGTGAGCCTTTCAAGTGTTTTTTTTTCCTTTGAAACAAGAATTTGAATTTGATTTGTTGTTGTTTTAAGGCTCCCCCCCCCCCCCGCCCCCCTGTATAGTGGATTTATTCTACTTAGAAAGCCTGGGATTTGATGGGAAACTGAGATATCCATAGTTTGTACGGGTTTGGCTTTCATGTAATTTACCCATCTATCTGTTACATGGTCTTCTTTTCTACTTACTGACTTTTCTAAAATTATATTGTTCTCTGTCTACCTATGCCAATTATCTTTATCTTTAAAAATTGGGGTTGCTTTGGAGTGTAGTGAAGCAAGTTCAAAAATTTTCCTGATCTATACTGAGAATATTAAAAAAAAAAAAAAAAAAAAAAAAAAAGTAGCCCTTGATGTCCCAATCTGATAGGACAGCCAGGCCGCTTGTTCTCTGTCGGACATAAACAATGTTACAAGATACTAGCCTCAGACAGGGTTACTCTGAGACCATGATAAAATGAGACAAAATAGGGCCACTTGATAATTTTGTCTAAAAGCAGATATAAACAAGGTCACTGTGCAGCCCACAAAAAATGCCAAAATCCCCCTCTTTGGCTAAATGAGTGACAGCTACTTCATTACTCAATCATAGAATCACTTTCTGATAGCCGACAACCCAGAACAAACCCTCCTAGGGGTGTCGAACTCAATCAGAGAAGGGGCCAAAATCTAAAATCCAGCCTAAATCGCGGGCCGAATGGTTTACTGAACAGTCATAAACTGTCATTGTGATGGAAACGCAGCGGAGTGCAGTGATGACAGCACGGTACGGGCCTCATTGCAAGGCCTGGCGGGACGGATTTGGCCCGCGGGCCTTGTGTTTGACACATGTGCCTTAGACCCTCCCAAAAATCACCCAACCAAAGCGCAAGTCCTGTGACAGGCTCTTTCTTACTTGCTCCTACTAAAACACCCATGGACCCCTGTGCAGTCTCCCTCATCGAAACAATAATAAGCCACATTGGCAATGTAAGTAGAGTGTTCCCTATTTCCTCTCTTAGCTCCCAAAGAAGCCTACTCTAAAGATCTATAGGTAGGTGACTCCAGAAGGAAGAAAAGAGGGAGCCTGGGAAATTTCTGTGCCTAGAGAATGGGGGACAAGGAGAGCCCTTGTATGGTATGGCAGGAAAGAGCTTGAGTTTTTGACTCAGAATTTGGCTTCTCTTCTATACTTTGTGATCTTAGGTAAGTCACTAGCTTAAGGAAGCCTCTGTTTCTCAACAATGAGGTGGGAATAATCAGACCTACCTTCCAGGATTGTTTATGAGGGAAAAGGAAATAATATGCATATATTGCCTCTACCAGTACCTGATAGGAGATAACCAGATTAGAGTTGCCAGATTTAGTAGAGTTGCCAGATTTAGCAAATAAAAATACAGAATACCCCAGTGTCCTGTATTTTATCTGGAAACTCTACTCTAGAGCCTTCAACTCTGTATGGCCAGACCTATATACAGGGTGGGGCAAAAGTGGGTTTACAGTTGTGAGTAGATGAAACACAAAGCTTATTTTCCTATTATTACTTATTAATTATTGTATTATTGTCCATACAAACAACTCTAAACCCACTTTTGCCCCATCCTGTCTAGGTGCCAAAGCATACCAAGTGTGCTACAAAATAAAACTGGAACTATCAGCTCAGAAACCACACAAATTTAGTCCTCGTCAAAATCTAATTACAAAATAAAGAAAATAAGAGCAGTTACTACACCTAAAACACATGTCAACACTTATACTTAAAGAAAGTAGAAGTTGCATTTCCATACAATAAGTTTACTAAAATGGAAAGGATTTGTCTCTGAATTAAGACTAATAAATAAGGTCCATGATTCATAACTATGACTGAAGATTTTTCTCATATTCATTTTTAATAACAGTCTATAAATTTTTACAAGTGACAAATTAACAATGCAATTCAATATGTTTTCATTTGTGTTTTCAAGGAGAAAATTAATTCACAAGATCAGATAAACAGACATTTGACAAGGCCACCCCCAGATTACAAAGACCAAAGAAGAAATATGGGAAACATGCAACCAACTGCTCAGTATTCTGGTAAGTGTTCTCAAAAATTAATAGAAATTGTAACTGCAGGAAGAAGAAAAATGTTCAGTTTTTAATATTTCCTCCTTTCTGCATCTTATATTTAATTGTAACATCTTTCTTAGACTACTTCACTAACACCCATATAACTTTCAGAGCAAGACCAAACTTGAATATTTGTAGTTTTCTCATCATTTCTTGCTTAATCTTGTTCTGTATTCACATTTTTCATTGCTCTCCAGACTACCTATGAGAGTTCAAAAACTTAAATATTTTCTAACGGTGAGGTTCAACTATTCTCCTCCCAACAACGTATTTTGACTCAGATAGTATAAGGTAAGTAGACATTTCTTTCTGAGTCACATTTGTAATTTGCTTAAAGCCCAATCTTTTTGTCCCCACCTTTGGGCTCATGTCCCTAATACAAATAGTCCTGCTACCAAGAAATAATTAAAAAGCAAGTTTAGCCCAGCCAGTGTTGCTCAGTGGTTGAGCATCAACCCAGGAACCAGGAGGTCATAGTTGATTCCTGGTCAGGGTACATGTCTGGGTTATAGGCTCGATCCCCAGTAGTAGATGTGCAGGAGGCAACCAATCCGTGACTCTATCTCATCGTTGATGTTTCTCTCTCTCTCCCTCTCCTTTCCTCTCTCTGCAATCAATAAAAACATTTTTTTGAAAAAATCAAGTTATGGCCCTTATTGGTTTGGCTAAGTAGATAGAGTGTTGGCCTGTGGACTAAAGGGTCACAAGTTCGATTCCAGTCAATGACATGTGCCTTGGTTGCGGGCACTTCCCCAGTAGGGGCTGTGCAGGAGGCAGCTGATCGATGTTTCTCTCTTATCGATGTTTCTAATTCTCTATCCCTCATGTTTCCTCTCTGTAAGAAAATCAATGAAAAAAAAAAAAAATATATATATATATATATATATATATATATATATATATTTAATAAATTAAAAAGCAAGTTATGTTTTTATGAAATCTCTCAAAAATACCAAGGGTGATTGCATTTCAGTTACAAAACTTCTTCACAGATATCTCAGTATAACATAGGTGATAGGCACTACCCCTAAAATCTCTCTCCTCTCACTGAACTCCAGAAGGAGTTCTCCCAAACCTAGCTGGTCCCGCCCTCTCCTATCACCATCTATTCAAGTCCCTTCTGCCCAGAACCCGCTGCACTTCCTTATGTCAATTAAATTTGTCTTGGACTTTCCCAAATTCTCTCTGCTTTACCTGTTACTTTCATCTACTCAGGAAGCCATAAAGAATGATGTCTAGAGACAAATGAGCTGTGACTATTCCTGTGTGTTAACATTTTTCTGGCCCTGTTATAAACATGTTGTTCTAATTTATGTCAACTTTTTCAAATGCACCAGACTGCCTCTCTCCACTGAAATTAGGAAAGGGATACATGTATTCTACTCTCTAGATGACTTTGCCTTGGTGGAAGTAGGATTCTCTAGTTGATTCTGTCTTCGAGAAGGTTGAGAGACAAGATGGTAGTGTGGTGAAGGTGTGGTGGGGTGTCAGTGGGGAATTAAAGGGAGGCATCTGCAATACTTTCAACAATAAAGATAATAATAAATAAATAAAAATAATAAAAAAGACAGAATGGGGTTTACTTGGATCATGGCTTCTTAACCATCCATGGCCTACCAGTGGTTTTATGGGAAATAAATATTATACAAAATTCAAGGTGGATGTTTGGGCTTTTCTTTTCCCATTCACATAAAGGGATAGTAGTCTAAGGCTAGTTTGGTGGCTCTACTATGTTATCATGGGTCCAGGCTTCCTTGCTTTTCTGCTCTATCTTCTTTAGCATGGAGCTTCTATTCTAAGGACTGGTGTGTCCAACACACCTCTAGCCTTCATATCCATGTTCCAGATAGAAACATGGCCTCCCAAATATCTCAGGTTCCCTTTTAAAAAAATGTTTTTTTCAAATTTATTGAGGTAACATTGATGAATTACATTATATACATTTTAGGTATACAACAGTATTTGATATCTGTATACTTTACTCTGTGCTCACCACCAAAAGTCTAGTTTCCTTCCATTGCCATGTATTTGACCCCCTTTGCCCCATTTCCTCATCCCCCTTCCCCCACCATTCTGTTGTCTATATCTATGAGTTTTTTTTTGTTTGTTTTGTTAGTACGTATATTACTATTTGTTTTATATTCTACATATGCATGAAATATGACTTTTGTCCTTTTCCATCTGACTTATTTCATGTGATCACAAATGGCAATATTTCCTCTTTATTTGTGGCTAAGTAATATTCCATTGTATATGTATAGGGTGGAGCAAAAATGGGTCTACAGTTATGAGTACGCAAAATACAGGGTTTATTCGTGTATTATTTATTATTGTATTATTTTCTATATGAACAACTATAAGACTACTTTTGCCCAACCCCATATATCTACCTCATTTTCTTTACATATTCATCCATCAATGGACACTTAGGTTGCTTCCATATCTTGGCGATTGTAAATAATGTTACAGTGAACATGAATGAGATTTCTTTTTAAACATAGATTATTTAACCCAGCCGTGTGATTCAGTTGGTTGAGCATTGCCCCACGTGCCAAGAGGTTACTGGTTAAATTCCTGGTCAGGACACATGCCCAGGTTGTGAGATTAATACCCAGTAAGGGGTGTGCAGGAGGCAGCTGATTAATGTCTTTCTCTCTCTCTCTCTCTCTCTCTCTCTCTCTCTCTCTCTCTCTCTCTCTCTCTCTCTCTCTCTCTCTTTCCCTCTCTTCCTCAAATCAAGGATTGGTGTGTTCCTCCCTCTCCCTCAAATCAATAAACATTTTTCTTAAAAAAATAGATTTCTTAGATTCTCATCTAATAACTTCTACCTTTATTCATATGGACCCCCACCCCATAAGAAAGTTTGGGAAATGGGTTTTTCAACTGAGAATATTCCTACAAAGTCAAGGCTCTGTTTCTAAGGAAGACAGACCAGCTGGAAATGTGGTAGGCTCTTAGAAGCCTCTTCCACAGTGTATATGGGCACTTCCCTCAGCATCCAGATGCTGACCTCCAAGTGGATAAGAATCACTGCTCTAGAGCGTTGTTCTTCTGAGCCTTCTGAGAATGAAATAATCAACAAGCACAGCACCAACCCTTTCATCACTTTTATCTTAATTTCAATATAATAATAATCACATTGCCCAGGTGTTAATATGAGAAATGACGCATGAAAAACACCTGTAATGATTTCTACCACATATTAGGTGCTTTTGAATATTAATTGCAAATAATATTTTGTGGTCTTATGGAAATTCTCTCTGTTTTTTAATAAAATACTGTTCTCTCTGGGGGAGATAAGAGATCAACTGAAGGACTTGTATACATGCATATAAGTACAACCAATGGACACAAAACTCTGGGGAGGGACAGTATGTCTGGGAGGGGGGGCAATGTTAAAATATGTGCACAGATAATAATTTAATAAAAAAATACTGTTCTCATAAACTTTTTCAGGGCATATTGTTAAAATAGAGTGCACACAGAGGGAATGATTTTTAAAACCTCTACATTTGTTTCCATTGCATTTTCATAAAGTCCCTTCTCATGAAACCTTTAGATGCCAAGATGAAATCTCGTTCTCAGTCTGTGAATTCTGAGGTACTGTTCAAATATCTCCTACCTGACTCTGGTCCCTCTTCATCAAACATTTGCTGCCCCACATGGGGCAGGGCCCATTGCTAAACCTGGAGATACAGGATACTGCTCCTGCCTTCGAGGGCTATATCATCTAGTTGGAGACATATTTTAAAACAAATAGCAAGGCCTTCAGTCTCCAGGGTTGTGTACCATCCTAGCTATGCTCAAACAGTAGGGGATACCCTAGGATTACAATGGCAGCCATGCTCTCCTCATGCCGTTCTGATAGTCATATGTGTGTCCAGTTCTCTGTTTCTCAATATCTCTGATTCTCTGGAGGGAGACTACTTCAAAAGAGTATCTCTCTCTCCACGTTACATCTCTGCTTCAAACTCTCAGTCACTCATTCATTCATTCAAAAGATATCAATTGACAACCTACTTTGCATCATTCACTAGACTTGGAGAATATGACAGTGAACTAAACAGCCAAAAATTCTTTCCCTTGTGGAACGTATCATCCAGCACACACTTTAATCTTTCTGACATCTCACTTTTGCCTCTCAAGATGTCTTTCAATGATGACTTTAATCTCCACAAGCCAGGAAGATTCCAATGTTATGATTAATTTTATCATATGTGTGGAGCCTCTCCATTCAGCAGCCCATCATTGGGTTGTCCCACACCCAATCACTTATTGGAAGGCATCAATGTAGCTGACAGGTCCTTTGAGGCTCCATGGGATTTCCCAATACAAAGGCTGAGTGCTAAGTTAAAACTTTAAAGAGCAAATGCTACTGGAGAGAGGAGGCTGGAATATCAGGGGAAGTTTAATGAAGAACTTTGGCCTGAGCCTTGAAGAACAGAGAGGGCTCAGTGAGGCAAGAAGGACATCAGATGAGAGGGAAATGGCATGAGCAAAGGTAGCTCATGGCGTATGGATAGCAGTGCAATAGTAACTGTACCTCCTGGAACAGAAGGCTTTCCGTATGTAAATAACCACAGGAACACTGGTTGCACTGAATTCCAGATGTTTAAAGAGATGGGAATTTACCCTCTGGATACAGGAGCCACTTGTGTCAACTTCTTGAATAGGGATGATACAGGTGAAGAATTGGACATGATTTTCAAGGTGATAGGTTTGACCTTGCTAAGTTATTGCAAAGTTCTGAAAAAGAGGAGGTAACCTACTGCTATGAATTAATACAATTATCTTCTTTTCCTTAGGTGGCTCATCAACAGTGAGTTTAAACTCTAACCAGACTTTGGCAAACCCAGTTTCAACACACACTATTTTAACTCCAAATTCCAGCCTCATGTCTACTTCCCATGGAACAAGAATGCCGTCATTATCCACAACAGTTCAGAGCATGGGGATGTATGGGAATCTGCCTTGCAATCAACCTGGCACATACAGTGTCACATCAGGATTGAATCAATTGACCCAACAGAGAAACCCAAACCAATTGATAGCAAATCAAAACAACCCTCTCATGCCACGGCCACCTGCCTTAGGGCCAACTAGCAATAATAATATGGCCACTTTTGCAGCAGGACCTGTTGGCAATTCACAACAACTGAGACCAAACTTAACCCACTCTATGGCAAGCATGCCAGCACAGAGAACATCGAACGTAATGATCACATCCAGCACCACAGCACCCAACTGGGCCTCCCAAGAAGCGACAGCCAAACAGCAGGAAGCCCTGAAGTCCGCAGGAGTCCGCTTCCCCACTGGTACCCCTGCAGCCTATCCTCCAAACCAGCCACTGCAACAGGCGGTAGGGAGCCAACAATTTTCCCAGAGGGCAGTGGCTCCTCCTAACCAGATAACACCAGCGGTGCAGATGAGGCCTATGAACCAAATGGGCCAGGCATTGAATGGACAAGCCATGGGTCCGCTCAGAAGTCTGAATCTCAGACCCAATCAGCTGAGCACACAGGTTTTGCCTAATTTGAATCAGCCAGGAACAGGGTTGAGTCAGCCAAGGACAGGCATAAGCCAGCCACCATCTCTGACATCTGGCAACTTTCCCTCACCCAACCAGAGTTCCAGGGCTTTTCAAGGAACTGACCATGGCAGTGACTTAGCTTTTGACTTTCTCAACCAACAGACTGATAACATGGGCCCTGCCCTAAACAGCGATGCTGATTTCATTGAGTCTTTACTGAAGACAGAGCCTGGTAATGATGACTGGATGAAAGACATAAATCTTGATGAAATTTTGGGGAACAACTCCTAAAGGATAAAAGGGAGACAATTCACCAAGTCCAAGCACTAAAAGGCAGTATTTTACAAGGACCCTGGAAAGGCCAACTGGTGACTCCTAGTTGGGCTACATAAAAATACCGCAGCTTAGAAATGGAAAGCAAGAAGTAGTGAACATTTTGGTCCAAATGCTTGTTTTAAATCTCAAACCTGAAAGTAAAACATCGGGATCACTTTTTCCTGTCTGAACTCCAGGACATAGTATCCAGTTTATCCCAACAGAACTGTGATGTTGATGTGTAATTCGCGGTGTAACATAGGTCTCCCAAACTCCTTTTCTCCCTGAAAGAGAAGTAATACAACTTTCAGCTTGTTTAAACCCCATGTCATGTGGGGGTATTAATTCCAAGCAACAAACATCAAATTCCTTAATTTGCTCTAATGGAAACATGTGTGGTTTGATCTTTCCATTTTATCTTTTCATTCGGTTTTTCTAAAATTTCCTAGATTGAAACGTTATAGGTTTCTTTACAGTAACCAAACACTGTCCTCAGTAAAGGAAAGCTGGAGAACCTATAGGAACATTCAGGGAATTGTGAAATATCTTCCCCACGGATCCTGTACTTCAGTGAGATGCTGTGTCTAGTGAAGAAACATTGAAGCCTGAATGCAGAGCTGCCCAACTCTATTTGGGCTTCCACAACCAATTTCTGAATCCAGGTCCAAGTCTTAGATACAATCACCTGTCCGGATCATACTGAAATATTAGTGCACATGTCTACATCAGTTTTCACTATTTTAAAAAGAAAGCACCCATTGGGCATTGCTGTAAAGGAGATTTATCCGGCCCCAGATAACGTGGGGCGTTACTTATTATAATAATGGTCCCTGCTGGTTCATTCCTAAGCTGAGTGAAGTTGAGTCTGATCCTCCCTGATTACTTTGATGACCAGAGACTGGTTTGTAAGGAAAGGAAGTTTTGGGGTCAAAACTGAGATTACTAGGTAATCATGTTTTGGTTGAAGATAAGAAGCAAAAGATCAGACCAGGGATGGTGAGTATGGGTTGGTACAAATCTATTTCAGAAGGTTTGAAGGGAAGCATAATTGAGAGAGAAAACAAGCTGACCTAATTTGGACATATTTTTGTGGGTAAACAGCTAAATGGAGTGTGATCTCCTAGTAGCAGTCTACTCATTCTTTTGTCCCTGAAGGGAAGAATCATTGCCACCGGCTAGATGGACCCCTCATATCCCGGTTTTCTCCCTTAGGGCTCAGCGCTGTCTCAAAGAAAGAGTTTCTGTTGAGTCACATAACCTCAGTGCCCACGTACAGATCAGCTGTAAAATGGGGAAGATGTGTGCTGATTTGAGAGGGCTGCAAAATATCTCTATCATTTTCCTCATTACAGAGGAACACAGGTTAGCTTCCGCTTTTTTAGTTATATACTCACATATTCAATTACCAAATGTAATTTAACAGAAGTCATTTAGCAACTAAGTCTTTAAATATCTGTTCTTAAAAAGAATACATTTTGAAAGTTCTCCCATTCTTTCAAGTGTCTAGCAGCTCCCTCTTTTACACACACACCAACATCACTGGCCCAGAGTCTTTTCTGTGCTAGGCTGTAAATATAAATGAATTACTTGTTTTGTAAACTTTTGTAAAGAATATTTTGGTAGAAATACTTAAAACATATTCTTTGGGTTATATTTATACGTATGTGAAATAAATATACTATCAAAAGGTTATATTTTATACAAAAAGTAAATTGTTACCTTTTGTATGCTAATATACAAAGTTTTGTATAATATGATGGTTTATTTTTAGCTCCACACTTAATCCATAGGTGGTCAAGTGGGAACTTTTAAAAACTATCAGGAGGCTTATTAGACAAAGTTATATTCTGAAACCTCAATAAGAAAAAAGCATTCCAGGTTTCAATCCTTTCCTTTTTTTTTTCCCCCTTTTCTTTTTTTGCTCCAAAATTCCCATAGTTCTTGTGTCTTGTTTGATTATTCTGCTGTGCACATTGTATTAGTCCTTGTTGCATGTGGTCTACTGTGTGTCTTCCCATTTTATAGAACAGAGTTTCTCCATGCAAAAAAAAAAAATGTAAGGAAAAGTTATGTACATACAAACACTTTTATTTTATGGCTCCTCCATGTTAGTGTATATATCTGCCAGCACTTCCCCATCTCACTCCCGTGATTCAGCTTATTTTTACCCTAACATAAATAGTATGTTTTGTAGTAGCTATCAAATTTAAGAGATAAAGCAATCAGAATGTTTGGATTTTCTTCTATCGTAATGTGAATTTTATAATTAATGTCTATTTATTCAGCTATTCATTAAAATACAGGATTCTTTGGAAAAAAAATGGTGTAGTCTACAGTTTCTGTTTGTTGGCAGCCTATTACCAAAGATGACGTAATTTTTCCTGAAAGCTGAGATAATGACACTTTGATAGACATATGTAGCCAAAACTTGATGACTTACAACTTAAAAGCTATTGGAATATGATCTCTCATTTATAGAAATACCAGACTACGGAATTGTTGGCAATGTTTCTCATTCTGATAATATTATAAAGGAGGTAGAAGTAATTTTTCTTTTTTAATTCAAAGACTAGGAAGCAATTTAAGCAAATAATTCATTCTCAGCTTTGTGGTAAGCCCAATAAAGATAAATAACTCTGCTCTACATGAATGCACTAATATTACTTGCATTACTGTAACTGTACCCATAACTGTAAAGATTTCAACTTGTAAAACAAGTATTTTGTATTGTGTGTAATCTTATGTGTTAAAAAAAATAGTTTTTAAAAATTCAGAAGTGGTTTTCTTGTATGAAATCAGAATTTCAGTCACCGACAATGTTGCTGCTACAACACAGAAAGTTCAAAGACCTATTAATAGTGATGGACAAATTCATTCTCTGGGAAGTTTCTAACACCAGTGAAATGCTGACTTGTCTCATTATACTATTCTTCTGTTCATTAAGATCCTCTATATACAACAACTAGATAATACTTCTCAGGCACGGTGTGGGCCTTTGCATGGCCTGCTGTGAGGATGAGTGAACACAGGGCCAGGTAGACAGTCTCACTGTACATAGTTACACAGTTCTTGAGAGTTAAAGTGGTTGAATAAAAATGGGATTTATAGGAGGCAAAGGCACTATTCTACCAAATTTTCTTGCTCTACTGTTGAAATATATTGCCAGGATTCCATTGTCCCTTTCGCCTCTGCTAAAAGGATGTGTGACATTATCCTTCTTATTAGCATTGTTAATGGAGCAATAATAAGAATTGACATTTTATATAGTCACTCTCCGATGATTCTGGAATGTTAGATAGTAAACAAACAAAATCAACATCAATAAATACATATTATTAGAGAGAAAGAAATATATAACTCTAAAATGATCCATGAATCCCACCTCCTACCCGTGGAAGTAGACCCGAGAAAGAGAATAAGAAAATAAAAGTAAGTGCAAAAACAAACAAACAAAAAGAACAGCTCAGTTTCTACCCACTCAGTGGATGCCAGAGGCAATTCAAATTCTTAAATGCTTTCTCCAATACTTCCATTTTATATCTCTTTAGCTGTATTTCCTCACCCAACAATAAGGATGTGAGGCGGAAATAGCTCACTGTTTCTCTCCAACTCTAAAACTCTGCAATTGGCCAAAACCGGCTTGGCTCAGTGGATAGAGCGTGCGGCCTGGAAGGTCCTGGGTTTGTTTCTGGTCAATGGCATGTACCTTGGTTGCAGGCACATCCCCAGTAGGGGGTGTGCAAGAGGCAGCTGATCAATGTTTCTCTCTCATCGATGTTTCTGACCATCTATCCCTCTCTCTTCCTTTCTGTAAAAAATCAACAAAACATTTTTAAAAATAAACAAAAAAAAATAAAACTCTGCAATTGATTTCCCCCCAAAACTAAGTGAAAATTTAACCAAAAAGACTCAATAGTATCATTTTTTAAAATAAAGAATTCACTTAACCTTTTAAAAGTTTTCTTACTGGCAGTCAATTTTATTTTACAAAGCAGCCATTTCCATAAAAATTAAATCCTATGAAAATGAGATTTCATCATAAATAGGCCAGAAGTCACTTAGACAAGCAGAAAGGCAATGCCAATTTTATGTGCCCACTGACTGAATGCAAGTCAAGCCCTGAAAGGCAAGCTTGAGTGTGATATTAAATGGTCATTTCCCTGTGAGGTCATGGAATTTCATAAAGAAAATATTTTGCCTACTTGGGAGGAGAAAACATACTTTCAGTAGTACATTCCATTGGTTATACATTAATAAGCTTTTTGTGAGTTGTAAATGATAATGTAACAGCTTTTAATTATACTTCTGAAGTTCTTATAATAGGCAAAGTATGGCAGTGCCCTAGTACCAAACTCAATGATAACAATAACATGATTAAAACATTATATTATGAGAATTAAGAAAACATATTGACCATAGACTTTTATTTTTTAGGACTTATTTTTATTGATTTCAGAGAGGGAGAAAGATAGAAACATCAATAATGAGAGAGATCATTGATCATTGATCATCTGCTCTTGCATGCCCCACACTGGGGATGGATCCCACAACCTGAACATGTGCCTTGACCAGGAATTAAACCCTGACTTCCTGGTTCTTAGGTCAATGTTCAACCACTGAGCCATACTGGCGACCATAGACCTTAAAAACCAAATGCTGTTGTCCCTGACTTGAATGCAGTAAAATTAAAAGGGGCTTTCATTTGTTTATATAAATAGTATTTAAATTTTTATTTTTACCAAATTTAATTCCAGATTGTGCATGAATATATTGATGCTTTTTATTATATAATAGTTAGGGATCTTTCAGCAAAATTGAGGGATAAAGAATAGCATAAAAAGACTACATAAATACAGGTGACCCAAAAAAGTATGCATCCTTTGAATAATTATTAGTTCCAATGGATTCTGTCTGAAAAGTAAGAAACATCAATTGAGTTATCTGCTGTTAAGTGTGCATACATTCTTGGGGGATATTCCGTATATAGAAGCTTTCATAGGGTAGTTTCAAAAAAAGGAAGAAAAGGGGAAAGGGAGAAAGAAGGAAGAAAAGAAAACATCTCAAACAGGCTTAGAGAAAGGAATTTCCTTGTTAACGTAGCTCGAAAGTTTAGGAGCTAGTTCTGGGTTTTGGCACAGCTGAATCCTGCAGGTCCACAGTGTCACTGAGAACTGGTTCTTTTCTGTCTCTCACCTTTGCCTCCCCCTGTCTTGGCTGCATTCTCTGGCAGGCCCTTCTCTCGGGGCTGCGAGATGTTTGCTAGCAGCACCAGACTGACATCCTCCCAACGTCAAGTCCAGCATGAACAATAGTGAATGCTTCCCTTTCAAAAGTTACAACTTTGCTTTACACAGGCTTTGATTAGGGCATGTGCCCATCCTGGACAATCATTTTGGTCCGGAAGGTACAATGTTTGGATTGGCCAGGCCTGAGTCAAATTCCTATCTCTGGAAGTAGAAACAGTTTAACACCATCAAACCATATGAGCTAAGAGTAGAAAAGAGGTGATTTCTCAAAGAAAAATCAAATTGCTATTATCAGAAAGAAAGGGAAGGAGAGAGAGAGAGAGAGAGAGAGAGAGAGAGAGAGAGAGAGAGAGAGAGAGAGAGAGAGAGAATTGTTTAAAAAAAAAAAGGAAAGAAAGAAAGAGGGAGGGAAGGAGGGAGGGAGGAGAGGGAAGGAAGGGAGGAAGAAGGAGGAAGGAAGGGAGGGAGGGAGGAAAGGAGGGAGTCAGAGAAAAAGACCACAAATGTTTACTATCCTTTTCTGGCTGCTCTATTTCCACACATACTGCTTTTCCCATATTTTCCATTTCAGAACCTCACTGTAATCCAGTCATACTCACCTCCTCTCTATAAGGAGGCAATCCAAATCTCATTTACTTACTACATCCTCCTCCTAGTGCAGGTGAAGTAAATTCTATTGCCAGGTCAAGATGAACCAGCAATCTAAGCCCCAAAGATATGTATGCACTTCTAATGTTTCCAAGTGGAGAGAGATAATAGTAATAAAGAGTTCCATTTGGAAGAGTTACTAATGTGTAGATCACATCCTTCTGAACAAGAAGAATAATTTGAACTATTCTGCCTTTGAACATTCAAACCAATGGCCTAGGGAAGGAGCATTAAAACCTGCCCTCTAGTTGCGGAGAAAAAGGAACCCTCGTGCACTGCTGGTGGGAATGCAGACTGGTGCAACCACTGTGGAGAACAGTGTGGAGTTTCCTCAAAAAACTGAAAATGGAACTCCCATTTGACCCAGTAATCCCACTCCTAGGAATATATCCCAAGAAACTAGAAACACCAATCAGAAAGGATATATGCACCCCTATGTTCATAGCAGCACAATCTACAATAGCCAGAATTTGGAAACAGCCTAGGTGCCCGTCAGCAGATGATTGGATCAAAAAACTATGGTACATCTACACAATGGAATACTATGCTGCCATAAAGAAGAAGGAATTCTCATCATTTGCAGCAACCTGGATGGAATTGGAGAACATCATGCTGAGTGAAATAAGCCAATCAATGAAAGAGAAACACCACATGACCTCACTCATTTGTGGATAATAAAGAGCATTATAAACTGATGAACCAAAAGATAGATATAGAGACAGTAAAGCAACAAGCAGATTGTCAAATTACAGCGGGGAGGGGAGGAGGATCTGGGGGAGATAATAGATCAACCGAAGGACTTGTATACATGCATATAAGTACAACCAATGGACATAAAACTATGGGGAGGGAGGGGCTATGGGGGAGGGAGGGAGGGGGGCAAAAAAAATCATTAAAATATGTAAAAAAAAATAATTAAATAAAAAAATAAAAAAATAAATAAATAAATAAATAAATAAAACCTGCCCTCTAGCCCTAGTTGGTTTGGCTCAGGGGATAGAGCATTGGCCTGCAGATTGAAATGTCCCAGGTTTGATTTTGGTCAAGGGCACTTATCTGAGTTGCAGTCTCCTCCCCAGCCCGGCCTGGTCAGGGCACACGCAGGAGGCAACCGATTGACGTGTTTCTCTCACATTGATGTTTCTCTCTGTCTTTCCCTCTCTATTCCACTCTCTCTAAAATTAATGGAAAAATATCCTCAGGTGAGGATTAAAAAAAACAAAAACTCCCCTCTCACCCTGACCAGTATCCCCTCTCTGCTTTCTCTTTCATCAATGTTTCTCTTACTCGTTCCCCTCCCTTCCTCTCTCTCTAAAATCAATACACACACACACACACACACACACACACACACACACACATACACACACACATTTTCACTCCCCTCTTTTCTCAGGATGCATACCAGCTGCATTTTACAATGGGAATAATCACCCCTTCCCCAGGGAGTATATTATATTAGATGGTGGGGAAAGCCCAAGGAATCAGACTTTTCTCAAGTCCCAATCATACCTCCTGCTATGATTCCCATTTGTTTGACATAGTTAGCAATATCTTTAGTTTATAACCGAAAATTCAACTTTTCAAAAGTATCACTGATTTCTAGTCAGGGAAACAAAAATCACTTCAAGTAGTCCAAGTGTCAGAGAGACTTTAATGGAAGGAATTGGTTTCATGGGAGATGAGCAAGCGGAGAGGCCAAATAGGGGTTGGTGAGGCCATCCTGAGATAACCAAAAGCAGGAAGGCACTACTCTCCCCAGGAGGAAAGGACCAAAAGACAAGAGGTCAGATGCTACACCACTGGCTGGTCTGGCTGGCAGAGCCAAACCCAGTGAGGAGTTTGAGTTGCTAATGGAGATGCCACGAAGGGCAGAGAA